CAAGCCTCTCTCCCTCACCCTTTATTCCACAGGCACCACCTTGGTCCCCACAGGGGTTGAGAGATTTTGGTAACTATCTTCTTCTGCCTGTAATGGGCTTTTTACTTTCTTCTTCTTCTGAGTGTGTGAGTATGTGTGTGCGCATGCATGTGTGTGTGTTAATGCATGTGTGTGAATGCATGTGTGTGCACATGCATGTGTGTGAGTGCATGTGTGTGTGAATGCATGTGTGTGAGCATGCATGTGTGTGAATGCATGTGTGAGTGTGTGTGCATGTGTGTATGATTTTGACATTTCACTTGTTTTCATTTCCCTTCCTTATATCTGCACCCCCATTTCCTAGTGCGTTTACATGAACAATCCTCACAATAAGTTTCCCTTTAGTGCCTTGTTTCCCTCTCATGTGTTTTCCTTTTTATTTTTAAAACTTATTCCTCCTTAGTGACTCTTTACCTCTCTTTGGCTGCATGAAGTGTTTTCTCCCCCATGATTCTGTTCCCTTCAAGATCTCTTAGCTTAATATTGTCCCTTTTTTTTCCCTTTTGTAAGAAATGGACCTCTGTGATCCATCTCCAGCATGGTCGGCTTCTGAGGGAATTTGCGGAATTTCCCCAGGGCAAGCAGAATGTGGGGCCAGCATCATGGTGGAACCCCCCCACCCCCAGGCATCTGCCTCAGCTAGACGGGGGAGGTGGAGGCAGCTAGAAAGGCCTCAGCCCAATTCTTAAATGGCCCAACGTGAGACAGCAAGACCTAGGCGACGTATAGGAAACAGGTGGCCTCATAGTACCAGCCAATGAGGAACCGGGGGAGGGACTAAATAAATAGGCTATGATCCTTGCCCACGTGTGTGCTGTTCAATGCCTGCTCCCAAGCGTGTTATTAAAAGTCTCATTTTCACCACACTCTGTTCCCCAGTCTGTCATTGAAATTCGGACGGGTCATTTCTCACACCCTGCCACATTTTATTCATAGCGAAGGTCACTTGCTCTGACTCTCTGAGAAAATAATCAGACATGTCCCCATCACAGTCAGAAGGAGGGCTAGAGTTTCCGCCCTGGGCTGGGCACAGCCGCCAGCAGAGCCGCCAGCATCTGAGTACCGAGAGCTGTAGCCGCGGGCAGCCTAATCTCCCTAGTGCACACGCGCTGTCAGTTTCAGGTGTCGGCACTGCACTTCCTAGAGACACAGGCTTCATGGCGAGGTGGGAGGATGTATTTTCAGACCTTCTAGAGGCCCCGGGAAGTTAGCGTTTGGGGCATGAAAGAGCCTGCCACCTTCCCAGGCTCTCAGTAGGTGGAAGCCCTGGCACCGGTGCCAGGTTTGGGCCCAGGATCAGTTGCAGTGGCAGGAACAGTCCTGAGCCACAAAGTCCTGGGGAGGTGGTTCCGAGGCGTTTTATTTATATCTTGGTGAGACAGTCCTACCACCGGCAAAGCCCAAGAAAGGGATTCGGGGCCGTAAATGTGACCCTGCAGACAAGTGCCCCCTTTCGTGTTCATTTGTCGGCTTTTGATTGGTGACCGGAGATGGCAGGACAATGATCCCAGCTCCTCCGTAGTAAGTGTGGGCAGCGGCTTTTGAAAGCGCTTAAAATATAATGAAAATATTAACTCAGTACATACAACCTAGGAATTGACTATTCATACTATTTTAAAACTAGAGGCCCAGTGCACGAATTCATGCCCGAGTGGGACCCCTCTGGGTAGCCTGCAGAGATCGGGCCGAAACCCTCAGTCCAATGCTGACTGCAGTTCCTACCTGCCTCTAGCCGTGAGCCCTGCATCTGGCGCCCTTCCAAAAGGAGTGGCCTATAAATTGGGCTGAAACCGGCTCTTCAGCATCCCCCAAGGGGTCCCAGATTGCGAGAGGGTGCAGGCCAGGCCGAAGGACCCCACCAATGCACAATCGGCCAGGGAGGGACTGCGGGAGGGCTCCAGGGCATGTCCCGGTCCATCTTGCTCAGTCCCTGTTGGCCAGACCCCAGCAGCAAGCTAACCTACTGGTCAGAGCATCTGCCCCCTGGTGGTCAGTGCATGTCATAGTGAGCGGTTGAGCAGCCTTAGCAGATTGCGCTTTGATTGGCTGAACAGTCGACTGGTCACCAGACGACCGGACACTTAGCATATTAGGCTTTTATTATATAGGATTCTGTTCTTTCTAATAAAAGTCCTTTCAGGGTGCTTCAAAAAGAGGTTTCCCTACATTCTAAGTAAAACCAAAATGTAAGATGTAGTGTAACAGGTAAAATGCATATTAGTGGGCAAAGCTCTGGGTCTGTCACATTTACAAAACGGGGTTTGTGCAGAGGGGGTGAGTTTACTGTACTCCAGTTTCTCTGCTTTTCCAAGTTCTGTCTTTAAGAAGCACCAAGGCCCAGCCTAGAGCGGCTTTGTTTTCCTCAACCCCGTGCCTTTGATGCTCTGCGCTTCTGACTGGCAGTTGGCATGAGTTCCTTGTGTAATTTACCCTTTATGAATGCCCCTCATCTCCTGGTCTAGATGCTAATTAGAGGACCTGTGTTCTAACACAGAACTTCTTCAACTTCCATGGACATAGGACACCCCAGGAATCTTGTTGAAGTGTAAATTATCTCTTCATCGGAGGAGGGGGTGCTGAAATTCTGCTTGTCTGACAGTCTCAGGTGATGTGACTCTGCTGGGCCGCAGGCCACACTGCAAGTCTCTGGCAAACCTTCAGCAGTTGTCTCTTGATTATGCTGTTTGTTTCAAAACAGGACAAAATATTTAAATTTGATTAAATGCCTCATTTGTCTGCAATATGAACACAGCATTAGGAAGTAAACACAGATGTAAATCAATCTCTGTGACTAATGCAAGGTGTAGGGTGTCCTTTTTGTTTTTGTTTTGCTTTTTTCTGATTCCTTTATTTGATCAATGGACTTTAGCGTATCCACTGAGTAGTTGCAGATCAGATGAGATTGTATGTGAGTAGTTTCTACTTGGGCTTCACTACATTTAGGCTTTAAAACAAAAGCCTCTATAATAAAATTGGAAGACATCTCTGTTCTTGAGGCGTGAAATAAAACATTTTAATGTAATTTTTATTGTTTTCTTTCTAATTACTGAAATCATTTATTTATTATCCCAACCCCAACCCCTGAAAAGCAAACAAACAATAAGGAAAATTATGGAAGAGAACCGAGACCCAACAAAACAAAACTGTTGCTCTAGTTCCCAGCACCAGTTATGAGGTTGCCCAGGGAGAGCCAGAGGTGAGGCAGAGCCCGAGGGAGGCCTGGCAGGAGCCACCGTCAGAGGGGAGCCTGGCCTGGCTGCGGTGCTGCGTGGGCGGAGGAAAGAATAAGGGCTGGTGGCTCCGGAGTGCTACGTGCTGAGAAGTCAGATGCTTCAGTGGTTCCTCATATGTAAGCAGGTGGCCTTTGTGAAGGGCATTCACTGTGGGCTCCCTGCTGGCTCATTCAGTGAGCCTGGGCCACCCTGGTCCACCGGCGGCTGAGTTCCTTTTCCTCCCCGAGTCCTCCCTGGGTGGGAGAGGATCCTCGGACTGACAAAAAGGAGCCTTTCCACCTCTTCTCAGATTCCCTTCCTGCTACCAGTTCCTCCCAGTGTTTCCTTATCTTGTTTTAGTCATGAATTAGTCTGATACTGCTTATCTCCAGGAATGTAAACTGCAACTGTCTCAGTTAACTCACAGTTGCATGCAAACGGAAAGCTGTTTGCACGTGAGCTTTGGTGAGATATTGCTGAGGTTCCCGAGGGGCCGGGAAGAGGACTGTTAATAGTGCTGGGCTCCTTGTGGGAGAACCAGCGTGGATCTGTGCTGTTTTAATGGTGGCAGCTGCTTCCTTGGCCTTTCATATTATGTTCTGTTACCCTCGTTGCCTGTGAGATGAGGGCAGTGACTTTTTGTTTTGTTTCTTTGCTTCACAGCTGTCCTAGGGTGACAGGAGCTATGCTAGTTCCTCTCTTAATATTCACCCACTTATCTATATCACTGTGGTTATGGTCACCCTATAGTTTAGGGAAGCCTTTCTTTCTTTAACTTAGAATTTGCCCAAAATTAGACTAATTACAGGTGTGATTATCCACCATGTGCCACTCATTTAATGAATATATTCAATAGTTGATCACCAAGTTGTCTTTCTTAAGGTTCTATAATTAGTACATTTCATGAATCCTTCCCATTTTAATTCATTTATTTCTTATTTTTTAATTTTTTTGTTAATCCTCACCCGAGGATATTTTTTCCATTGATTTTTAGAGAGAATAGAAGGGAGGGGGAGAGACAGAGAGAGAGAAACATCAATGAGAGAGACACACATTAATTGGTTGCCTCCTGCACGTGCCCCACCCAGGGCCAGCAATCAAGTCTGCAACCAAGGTACATACCCTTGAACGGAATTGAACCCATGACCCTTCAGTCCTCGGGCGATGCTCTAACCCACTGAGCCACACTAGCTAGGGCTCAATTTAATTCATTTCTTAAGTGAAAGGTCATTTTATTCTTGCATATCTCTCCCATATTGTGGAGAACTGAAACAGAATAGCTTTATAATATATTTTATCAGTTGAATAGACCCATCCTATATCCTATATAATAAAGAGGTAATATGCAAATTGACCATCACTCCAACACACAAGATGGCCACCACCATGTGGTCCAAGATGGCCACCACAAGATGGCCAGCAGGGGAGGGCAGTTGGGGGCGACCAGACTGGCAGGGGAGTGGTTAGGGGTGATCAGGCTGGCAAGCAGAAGCCCAATCCCTGTGGGATCGGGCCTAAACCGGCAGTCAGACATCCCCCAAGGGGTTCCAGATTGGAGAGGGTGCAGGCTGAGCTGAGGGACAAC